TACAAATCAATACTCCCACTATGATTTACACTCTCACTCCTATTGATTCAGCTCGGTCAAACCTTCCTACAGTTAGGACCACAGCCAAAATCCCCTCTTGATTTATTTAATGAATGAGAGGTCCACAAATTGAATGATCAAACCTATAAAAGTTAGGGTCATCTCAAGCTCCTCTTTCGGTTAAATCTTCCTATAATTAGGATCACAGTCAAAATCCCCTCTCAAATCCTTCATTGAACGAGAGGTCCACAAATTGAGTGATCAAATCTATAAAAGTTAGGGTTATCTCAAACTCCTCTTTCGGTCAATCCTTCCTATAGTTAGGACCAAAGTCAAATTCCCATCTCGATTCCTTCAACGAACGAGAGGCCCACTTTCAAATCGGACTTTTCTTTCGATAAATGAAAGGTCTCCACCCTAATTGAACGACCAAACTGATAAAAGTTAAGGTCATCTCAACATCCCTTCTTAATCAAAACCATCAAACGATTACGGCCAAAACCAGGATTCTTTTTCGATAAACGAAATGCTCCCATCCTTTTTACTTCAGTCAATCCTATAAAAGTTAGGGCTAAAGTCAGAATTTTACCTCGATAAATGGGAAACTCATCTTCAGGTTAGGTAACTAATCCTATAAAAGTTAGGGTTATCTGAATCTTTTTGATTCTCGGAGTGGAGATCCCACTCTTAGTTTCACCTCGTAGATTCTCGAAGTGGAGATCCCACTTTGAATTTCTTTTACAACTGGAGATAGAATATAAAATTCTTACTCCCCGGTATTGGGTTCACTTCTACCCCAAAAAAAGGCCCGAAGATGGAATATAAAATTTTCCCTCTCTGGTGTCGGGTTCGTCTCTTCCCCAAGAGAAGACACCACATTCCAACATTAATAATCCATGCCTCTCACGCATGGAGAATTCTATCCCGAAGCCTAAGTAGGGATAAGTCAGTGCCTAACACGCCTTGTCGGTTAGTTTTTTACCGTAAAAAGTACAAAAGCCCATGTATTCGACATCGCGGTAGGCCGTTATTAATAATGCCATAATCCATGCCTTACACGCATGGAGAATTTTGTCCTGAAGCCTAAGTAAGGATAAGTCAGCACCTAACATGCGTTGCCGATTACTCTTTTGCTGTAAAAAGGACAAAAGCCCACGTATTTGATATTGTGGCAGGTCGTTAATAATAACACCATAATCTGTGCCTTACACGTATGGAGAATTTTATTTCGAAGCCAAAGTAGGGATAAGTCAACGTCTCACACACATTGCCGGTTATTCTTTCCCCATAAAAATGACCAAGTCTACGTATTCAAACCTATAAGTATTATGGTTAATTATTCTAAACAGAATGAGAAATCATAGTAAGAATGAAAGTACACTGAACAAAAATATATATCATTAATGAAATCAAGTGTTCAGATACAATACTTGCAGTCACTCTACATCAAGCTTATGACTAAGGATTTGTTGCTCTAATTTGGACAATTCTTCAGCATAATTCCGCTCAACCTCACCCTGCAATTCCGCTTTGAAAGATTCTTTAGAGGCAGACAAGGTCCTCGTAGCTTCCTCCTCCATTTTGGCTAACTTTTCCTCAGAGAGCGCCACCTTGCTGGATATCACAAGCCTGCCATGCTCCTTCCCGGCGCTGGCCACCTCCAAAATAGCCCTTTGCCCCTCCGCCTCTGCAAGTTTTTGCTTAAGTTCCACTATCTTGACGTCGGTAAAAGCTAAGGAAGAATCGATCTCTCACAGGTTGGCAAATCTCTCGGAGAGAACCTTCTTCATCTGGTCGACCCACTCCCTTTGTGCCTGAATCCCGAGCCCAGCAGATGCTCGAGCTTCACACCATGATTGTAGGTGGGTCTCCATCTGAGCAGCATCATAGGCAGGAGCACCAACGGATTGGAGCTCTTGCAACCTTTCAAACTCATGTTCCAACCGTTGTAGGTCATTGGTCAAGGCATCTACAATATTCGGCGAGCTAGGGTCCTTTTGTAACAGCCATAATTTTTGATACATATTTAAATTAATTTTCTAGTATTTTAAAATATTAAATTTTATTTTTTTCCCAAATCTCCAAAATTCTCTACGAATAAAATATATATATATATGTATATAGTCCTATGTTTGCTAAATATTAAATAATAGTTATGGTGAATATTTTTTAAAACTATTATTTGGTCACTGATATTATCTATCTTGTTATTATTAATGTGATTCTGAGTATAGAACATTAGCATATAAATATATAAATATTTGGTTGTTAACTCAGTTGATTATTATTATTAATATAATATTTCTTATTTAGTATAAAATAATATTTTTTCCATATTTTCTCTCTCCGTAGATTTTGTCAATCTTCCTCATATCTAAATCCTATCACAATTATGCACAAAATCTTCCCTATCTCTCAAATCTCAAATCTTCTCCTATAATCAAATCTTTTTCTCTCTCTAAATCTCTCTTTTAAAATCACAGTAATATATATTTATCTCTCCCGTACTCCCCTATCAAAAATATACATATAATATTTAACCTATAACCTAACATCATCCCCTCCTCTCTTTTTTCGTGTTATCCAACCGCCAATAAATCCACCCCTCTTCTTCTTCTTCCTCAAGCACCGCTCACCACCGCCACCTCTCCCCTTCATTGTGCCATCGACCACCCAGTCGTTCCCCCACCTGACCCCCTCCTCTCCTCGATCACGCTCTCATCTGCCA